AGGACAGCAAAAATAAGAGTTTTTAAAGAAAAATGTCTTTTGAAACACAACAGGTAACATTTGGCTTTGGAAAACTGAAATTTTTAATTTTTTTTTTTTTTTTTTTTTTTTTTTTTTTTTTGAGTGTGAAAGAATGAAGTGTCTGGAAATGAAAAGGGCAATGCTTTGTTTATTATTTCTATTATTTCTCCTTATTATTTGTATTATGAAACTTGAATACCAGTAATCAGACGTATCACTGACTGCTTGATCTATTCTTTTCCCCTTCATTATCTTGCATAATTAGCTGTTGCTGGAGTGCTGGTTTTGGTAGTCATTTAGTCTCATCAAGTATGGACACTCATATCCATGGCCAGCATAGTAACTTCCAACTCTTCTTTCCAATGTACGAGCATTCAAGGAACAAATGTCCCTTCCCAATACATGTTTCTAGGGTAGTAAAATAAAGCGATAGAGAAAGTGCTAATTAATTGCTAATTAAGTCACAGGAAGGATCTCTAGAGGTCATTTGGTCTAGGCCCTCACTCACAGAAGGGCTTTGTCATTATACTGTATTGCCCGGGGCCTTGTGCTTGCAACTTAAAACTATTGTACCACTGCTGGATTTTCCACTTCACTTTTTTTCCCCATTAGATTGAAAAGACATGTAGATCAAGTCTCTGGAAATTTATTTTGGGGATATGTTAAGACCACTGGGATCATCTTGCACTTGTAGAGGATATAAAGGAACTTCCACATTCCCTTCCTCTCACAGTTTGGTCAACAGCTTTCTGACACTCACTATCCCCTTCACAGCTGTCGACATGTGGGACAGGAGTGGGTATAGACACAGAACAAAGAAACTCAGTTTAAAAATTGTGATACATTTGTCTTCAAATTCCTCTTCTGTTTTGCCATATGGGCAGCTTTAAGTGGAAATGTAGTCTTTTTAAGCCTTCCTTGAGATAGATTTACCTGGAATTTATTCCATCTTTCTATGGATGGCATTTTCATTTGCGTTTTTTCACCAACACTAACTTTTCTGCCAAACTCCTCTGTGTTCATATCAGCTGATCCCATTCAAGATTGGCAAGGATCTGATTCACTGTTTTTTGTGATTTAAGTCACCTGTGTTTTATCTCTATCTTTCTGTTAGACTGGAGTCAGTAGGAATACATGGAGCGTGTGTCTTAAGACAACCATCAGAAACATACACCCCCAGAGTGACATTTGTGTTCTGATTTTTCTTTTACTTTCTTAAGTTGCTATAGAATCAGGTTCAGAGATCTCCAAAATCCACTCAGGTTGTGCAAGTGGTGAGGCAGACTGGACATAAAATTGATGCAGTTTAGCACTTTCCAACTTCAAAGCACTTGACAAATTCTGAAGTCTGGTTTTTGGCACATAAAACATCAGGAATGCTGGGAAAGAGTTGTACCACTTGAGTGGCAGCAGATGGTGATGTTAAGTCTGAAGCTCATACTGAGCTAGCAGTGAGCCTGGTGCCAGAAACACAGGGAAAGCAATACAGATCCAGCAGAGACAGTTCTGTTACCAGCTCAGCAGATGAGTCATTGTGTGACCGAGAGAGTGACCCATGGGATGATTCCAATTACTCTTGTCCCAGTTCTTCTAAAACAAACAAACAAAAACCTTAGGAATGAACATAATTTATAGTAATCCATCAAAGCCAATTGAGTTATTTGCATGCTAAATTTTTAACCATCAGCATGTACATTTTCTGGATCAAAAATATGTGCTTTCGTTTTTGGAAGTCGCAGCTAATTGTGATGTGGTGGGGTTTTTTTAGAGCATGACTCTCTAAGGAGACCATGATCTAAACAGTTGAGTCCCAATCTCCATATTTTCCTCATATTTGTGAGGACATTTCTGTTTAGCCTTTGATTGCTTCAACTTTGCAACCGTATATGTAATCGCAGACCTAGACTTGTTAGCTTCCTTTAAGAATACTGAACAAAGCATTAACCTTAGAGTTTAAACCATTAGTTTTAAGGCATGCAAAAGATTTTTCACTAAAATCAGTGAGGCTTTCCTTGGGACAGTTGAAAGGGAGGGTTTTATCCCATGCAAGGAGCTGCCTGCCAGAAATTTTAACATTGCTAATTTATAGATGCTTCTACTGTTCTACAATGGTTTTACTAGCAGTTAAGTGAATGTGTCAAGTGTTTGTCTTTTTTCTAAGAGGAAATTTTGATTTCAGGTTCTGATTTTGGGTTCATAGAAATACTCAGGTGATGTCTCTGTGAAGCAAAGATTAAAGAATTCTCATAATCCAGTATTAAGAAGATGTAGCTTTTAGGATAATTTTGAAATCCACAGAAATGTAACCTCTAGAAAACATATTGTAGGTAAGTATGGAAACACCCATGGACTCCGTGCTTTTCTATTCTCAAGCAAGATCACATGACAGGTGTACACCACAAAAAGATACCAATGAAATAAAACCACACTGAAGGATGTAGATTGGTCTATGGCATCTTCTAGGCCCATCCTTCGGAAATGCCTGTAGGCATTTCCAAAGATAGCACAAGGGAAGAAGACAGGACAGTTTCAAGGAAGAAATACATTTTTCTAGGGGAGTTTACTCAAGGAGAGGGAGTGGAAAAAGGTGTTAGTAACTTGACCATGTTAGTAGCTCAGAGCATCCAGAATAACAAAAGGTGCTTCAAAACACCTGAGGTTCAAACTAGAAATGAAGGATAAAGCATTATCTATTTTCCAGTATGACTCAGAACTGCTTTGGTTTTAAAGGTCAGAGTCCACCAACACTCATGCATATAGCCTTTCTGTTCACTTCACTGGAGGCTGTAAGCTAGTAATGTAACTGGAGAGAAAATCTGGCAATAAAAATCCAATTTACTGCCCAAGAATGTATGCCATTTAGATTCCTCTTAACATATTAGACACCCAAGCAGTGAAATGACAATGTAGCCACACTACAAAGTGTGCCACTGCACACTGCAGTGTAAGCCACTGCAAAGTGAGTTGATAAGAAGGAGATTTTCAAGTGTTGAACAAAAGTGCGCAGGCATGTGAACCCAGCCTGCATATGCAGAGCACCAGTTCTTGATCTTGCAGCCCAGCATCTCATCACTCATATTTGTATATGTGCATATTCAAATCAACCTCTATCACCATGAGTCAGGCATACATACACTTAATGGACACTGTTGCAATTCTATTATAGATATTTCAGCTTTCATGATGTAGGTGGTAGCAAAACAGTCTCCCTTTGTTGCAGGCATTGGAAGGAAAATATAAAATATGTACAGGTAAGCTCCTCGACTTGAGTGCTGCATTATGCTTTCCTGAAAAAAGTAAGACATCTGTAACTATTATCAATGGTATACATACAGAAAGGTGTTTCAGAATGACTTTTTTCTGGATAGTATCTTGATTTTTGCACTGTGAAAAAAAGGAGTACTGCAGAAATTCCAATTAAATGCACTGTACATCTGCTGAGCAACAATGTGTCCAGAAGCTATTGAATCAGGAAAAAAAAAATCCCAGAAGAATAAACAAAAAATCTTACCAGCTGATTTTTAAATTTTCCCTTGCTTCAAACTATTGCTTGACTAGCACCCCAGACAATATTATAATGACTTCCATCTGAAACTGCTTCAGACTTTTGAATATTAGATGCATTCACACTAAATAGTGTGTGTAACATACATGAGAGGTTAAAGATTGTGATAATTTGTCATATGGATACTACTACCATTGTGGATTGAAACTGAAGGATACATTTGCACAAATTTCCTTTTATGGTGAAACCTCTGAATTCTAGCAAGTACTGCATGTAATTTCTGGGTCCCTCCTTAGTGAACATGAGCCATAGTACCTATTTCCAATGCTTTTTTAATATTGTCACAAGTGCTAAAGCACAATAGTTGTGGAAAGCAAACCAACTAACAAATGGAGGCATAGACTACTTACAGTCAAGATTCAATCCTCAAGAAATCTAAGCTTTTAAATACATAAGCACCCAACCAGAAATCTGCTTCTACAGGGATGATGTAAGCTGTAAAAACATTAGCATGCTCCTCTTGTAACAACCTTTCATCTTGTCAGTGACTACAAAGATGAGCGATTTTGCTCTTACTTCTGCAGAAGTTTTGTAAGCATTGACCTCTTTAAGGCACATATTGTTTAAAGGACAATAATATATTGCATAAAAATATAACAAAACAAATGTCTTCATCTCAATAATGTAAGCTAAATCAACACTGCTATTTGCAAAGAAAACTGGAATTGACTGAACAGTTGGAATGTCATGATGTTAGTACTGCAAAGCTTTTCTTTAGCAGAACCACAGACATCAGTTAAAGACAGTAAAATAAAAGGAAGATTGTTACCAAAAAGGTCTATAAAAAGTCAGTCAATATGAACTTCATCATTTTGGCAGGTGAGTGGAAGGGAGAGAAGCTCAGGCACAAGCATACTGAACATATTTGAAGGAATGTTCACCTGAAAAAGAAGAAACAGAAAAATACTCTGTCTACTTTCTTGAAAAAAATATACTGGATGTTTAAAATCACCTTGTATGTTCTGCAATACTATAAAATGATAACTTAACATGTTTTTTCTTTCCTTCTTTTTTTCCTGAAGATCATATTTAAAATTACTGCCTTCTATTCCTACAGCTCTGTGTCCTATCCATATTTGTTGTTTACTTTTTCTTCCAATGCCTTTGAATCTCCCCTATGTGATCTCTCACAGATAATGCCTAGTTCTTGAAATGCTGCTTTTGTGATTTTCTGAAGTGAATTTCATCAGGATGTTTAGTCTGAAAAAGCTAATTATCCTAACCATTATTTCCTTCCTAATTCTGGCCTGCACGTGGATAACTGTTGTTTTAGAGATTTGGAATAAAATATTTGTATTTAAAACTGCATATGGTTCATAGTTTGACTCTCTGGCAAGCACCGATTTATCTTCTAACAGCTTCCCAATGCTTATTAGTTTACTTGTTTATATAAAAGTTTATATAAGTCATCACTGTTGGTCATGTGCTCTGATACAGGACTCTGATTAAATAATACTACCCTCTATTTTTCTTATTGCCTTCCTTAAATTGATGGTCACAGCTAAGCCTTATTATAATGGTTTACAGAAGTAGTTGATTATGAAGACTGAAAAAAGTAGCATTAAATACTTCAAAAATAGTTCTTTTACGGTTGGATCTAAATGGGCACTAACTCTATAGTTATCAGAGAGATAGCTAGACAGGATTAGTTCTGTAATCGTGCCCATAACTGTCTTTATTTACTCTCCCTCATGGTAATAGGATTTTACAATAACATAGGAAAAGTTTGTGAGCTCTCTTACAGCAAAAATGTATGCTTTGTTGATTACCAGAAATCCTGTGCTCCCCTGAGGGACTTTGCTGGTTTCCAGCAAATACAATTCCTTTGTTACTCTGCCTTTGTTTCCATGTTTGATGGTTTAAAACTGGTGCTGTCAGATTGCTTTGGTCTCAGTGCTGTTCCAAAACGTGTAGATGAGCAGAGCTTTTCTCGTCCCTACTTGTCCACTCCCTGTACATGCTGGCGTGAAGTTACCTCAGGTGGTCATGAGAAATATGGAGTGTCCATAATCGGGTATTAAGAGCTTACCTTTGACAAAAAAACTGGAAGCCTTATTGAAGTTAAATTGGATAATAATATAAAGTCTTCAATCAAGATGAACACATTTTGCACATATATTAAAAAGCAGTATATGCCTTAGACATATGTACATACAATACTCACCTCAGTATTTTCAAATGTTTCCTGAAAATCATGTGCTTAGAGTTTGAAAAAACAAAAGTGTAAGTCAGATTATGATAGCAATGAAAATATTAAAAAGCTATTCATAAAAGAAAGATTGCCCTCTGAAAATAGAGAATATTCTTGTTACATGTTATTGCCAAGTCTAAAATTCACAACTTGGAATTGAATTTACACTCAGGTAGATAGGAATTCCCTGGTAAAATATTAATCCTCAGTGAATAGTGTGCTACCAACAGAATAGAAATCTGGGGGAAAGAAACCCAGTAAAAACTGGCATAATAGCCATATGTAGGTCAGGAACTGGAAATGCTGAGACTGTTCATTACATTTGGTCTGTTCTAATAATCCCTGTGTTCTCAGACATTAAACTCAGACCTTTTCCCACAATAATGAATTTGACTTAAAATAGAATAATGTCTATGTGGGAGAAGGCTTCTAAATATAGAACTAATAATATTTCAACACATTTATTTATCAGAAATGTTATTTGTGACGTTTGGGAGTGCTAGTTGTTAAAAATATTCATCAATTAAAGAAGTCTCTTCTTCTGCAAACCATCTGCTGTTCTTTTTCAGTCTGCCAATGAAGTCATGGTACAGAAACAGTGATATGACAGGTATTTCTTTGCCAAGAGATGACGCTTAGATATTATGGCATCACTGAATTCAGTCAGTAAGAAAGATGTTTATTCCTCTTAAGGAACCTGAAGTCCATGGGACCTGATGAAATCCATCCACGGGTCCTGAGGGAGCTGGCAGATGAAGTTGCTAAGCTGCTTTCCATCATATTTGAGAAATCGTGGCAGTCTGGCAAAGTTCCTGCAGACTGGAAAATGGGGAACATAACCCCAATATTCAAAAAAGGAAAAAAAGAAGACCCAGGGAACTATAGGCCACTCAGTCTCACCTCTGTGCCTGGAAAGATTATGGAGCAGATCCTCCTGGAATCTCTGCTAAGGCACATGGAAAATAAGGAGGTGATTGGAGACAGCCAACATGGCTTCACCAAGGGCAAATTGTGCCTGAAAAATTTGGTAGCCTTTTATGATACTGCCACATGCTTGGTGGACAAGGGCAGAGCAACAGATGTGGTCTACCTGGACTTATGCAAAGCGTTTGACACTGGCCCACATGACATACTGGTCTCAAAATTAGAAACTAATGGATTTGATGGATGGGCCACTCGGTGGATAAGGAGCTGGCTGGATGGCAGCACCCAAAGGGTTGTGATCAATGGCTCAATGTCCAAATGGTGGCCAGTGACGAGTGGTGTTCCTCAGGGGTCCATAATGGGACTAGTGCAGTTCAACATCTTTGTTGGAGACATGGGCAGTGGGATAGAGTGCACCCTCAGCAAGTTTGCCGATGACACCAAACTTGGTGGTGCGGTCGACACACTGGAGGGAAGGGATGCCATCCAGAGGGACCTGGACAGGCTGAAGAGGTGGGGTCATGCAAATCGCATGAAGTTTAACCAAGCCAAGTGCAGGGTCCTGCACCTGGGACGTGGCAACTCCAGGAACAAATACAGGTTGGGCGGAGAATGGCTAGAAAGCAGCCCTGAGGAGAAGGACTTGGGGGTGGTGGATGAGAAGCTTAAAATGAGCCGGCAATGTGCACTGGCAGCCCAGAGAGCCAACTGTATCCTGGGCTGCATCAAGAGAAGCCAGCAGGTCGCAGGAGGTGATTCTGCCCCTCTACTCTGCGCTCATGAGATCCCACCTGGAGTACTGTGTCCAGCTTTGAAGTCCTCAACAAAAGAAGGACATGGATCTGTTGGAACGGGTCCAGCGGAGGGCCACAAAGATGATCAGAGGGATGGAGCACCTTTCCTATGAGGACAGACTTGGGGTTGTTCAGCCTGGAGAAGAGAAGGCTCCAGGGAGATCTTATAGCGGCCTTTCAATATCTGAAGGGAGCCTACAGGAGAGCCGGAGAGGGACTCTTTGTCAGGAAGTGTAGGGAAAGGACAAAGAGTAATGGTTTTAAATTGAAAGAGGGGAGATTTAGATTAGATACTAGAAAGAAATTACTTACTGAGAGGGTGGTGATGCACTGGAACAGGTTGCCCAGGGAGGTCGTGGATGGCCCAGCCCTGGAAGTGTTCAAGGCCAGGCTGGATGGGGCTTTGAGCAACCTGCTCTAGTGGGAAGTGTCCCTGCCCGTGGCAGGGGGCTTGGAAGTCGATGATCTCTAAGGTCCCTTCCAACCCAAACCATTCTATGATTCTATGATGATTCTATGATTCTATTACTTGGGTGTTTTCCCACATTTTCCTACTTATTTCTTTAAAAGCAAGCAGAACATCAAACTTTTCCACTGGCACCCATACATGTTTTGTATCATATGTACATAGAAGTCCCCTTAAAATTGTGACCACTTAAACGCAACTCTGAAAGGAAAAGTATTATGTGCTAGAATATGATCTGCAAAGAATTTTTATATCTGCATCACGTTCAAATGTGGGTTTACACTATCTGTTAAATTCATTTGCTATTAATGCAAGCTGTCGAGCATTAGTGTCACAGGGATACTTTGTAAACAAGAAAGTTAAGAGGTGGTGTCAAAATCTCATTTTTTGTGTGTGTGTAAATTTTGGGTAGATCCATTGGCTTTAACCCCATTTCAGCAGTAAAACAGTAACAGCATTTGGCTCACAAGCTCCCCTCTGTTGCCTGTGCCAGTGGTGTTGGGCCTCAGAAGACAAAGAACAATGATGAAAGCTGTTGCCTTTAGAAGTCCAGGTAAGGCAGCCTGCATGGACGAACTGCCATTCCCAGGTAGCTTTTAACACTCAAAATATATTTGGTGAGCAGGAGCAGCAGAAGCCAGCTTGCAAACCATGAGGAGAGATGTTTGTTGAGCAGGTCTTATTGCTCCTTTCCGTATACTTTGTAAGGACTATGTCCCTTGAGATTTTTCAAGAGAATCTTTTGTTTATTTTAAAGAGTTTACTGTGAGATCTGTTACATACGCTTTTTCATCTGACAGCATGTAGATTAATTTCAATGATGTATCTGAGACTTGTTTTCTTCAGCTTCATGATTATGACATACACCATATGAAATTATGAAATTGCCATCTCTTCGTGTTCTTAGGTTATTTCTGTTGATGGTAAGAAACAGGCAGCAAAGTCAAGAACAGCTGCAAGGAAAAGTTAAAGGATTGAAAGATTTATTATCTTAGCTCCTTAAATTAAAAAGCAGGGACATTTATATCTCAGTGCTTCTTTTTTGCTTGTTTTGCTTTTAATTGTGGAGGTTTTTTCCACCTAAGTAAGTGCTTTTGTGATTGACTTAAGAAGTATCTTCTTTCCTGAGCAGGCTAGCTGTTTTTTACTGCTGAGTAATTCACATAAAAAGTTAATTAAGCCTTTGACCTGATGTTCCAGTTGCTTCTTGGCACAGGAGGAGTCTAGGCCACTTAGTTTCCTAGGAAACCAACAAGAAAGTCCCTGTTACTGTTCCAAAGAATTTAAATTTCCTTGATTTTGTACTGCAAAATATTGTGCTATGGTAGCCATATTATCTTACGATGCTTATGTCTTTCACACAAGCGGGAAGAGAAAATTGTCTTTGGCTCTTTCTCTTGGGAGGTTATAGTTAGTCCTCAGAGAAAAGATAGGCCTTTATGTTTCTAAGCTTTATTTAACAGCCAAAGAAATGCTGTGTGATTTTCTTGGTTGGATGGGTCATGCAAGTTACTATACTTTTCTTTAATCTGCCTTTACCCATTGGAAGAGATTATAAGAAAATCATAGAATGGTTTGGGTTGGAAGGGACCTTAGAGATCATCGACTTCCAAGCCCCCTGCCACGGGCAGGGACACTTCCCACTAGAGCAGGTTGCTCAAAGCCCCATCCAGCCTGGCCTTGAACACTTCCAGGGCTGGGCCATCCACGACCTCCCTGGACAACCTGTTCCAGTGCATCACCACCCTCTCAGTAAGTAATTTCTTTCTAGTATCTAATCTAAATCTCCCCTCTTTCAATTTAAAACCATTACTCTTTGTCCTTTCCCTACACTTCCTGACAAAGAGTCCCTCTCCGGCTCTCCTGTAGGCTCCCTTCAGATATTGAAAGGCCGCTATAAGATCTCCCTGGAGCCTTCTCTTCTCCAGGCTGAACAACCCCAGCTCTCTCAGCATACCAGAAAACTGGCATCTTGCTGAATGAGCCAATGACATCGTTGAGTCAGTAGACATTATTATGACTCCATATTCAAATCACTCAAACAGTTTACTTTTTTAAACCCTTGCCAAGTAGTCTTTTCTGAGGCTGAATTATTCTGTGCTGCATTTCTGTGAAACTCTGAGAAGGTTATGTGAAGTATCTCATGCTTTAGGTGAATGCTGAAGAAGGTCAGCAAATTTATAACAAAAGTAGATCACAGTGTATTTTCTGTGAACTTGCTGGATCAAAACCTCAGCCGTGGCAAACAGTACCATTGAATTCTGTAGATACTTTCAGTTTACACTAGCTGAATTTAGCATTATAGTGTCAAAATAACAGAAGGAAGTTTTTCTGAGTATCAGATCAATGGGATCATTTATACTTTTTATCTGATGAGAGTAAAATTAGAGAATTTAAAATAAATTCTATTCTGTATTTCTTTTTAATGTCAGTCAACTGGTTAGAGATCATGGCTCATCACAAAAATAAAACGTGGATTCAAAGATCTCATGTCTTTAAGACAGTCATCTAGCTCAATTTTTTTGGTGAAATCTGTCTTCAAATGGTCATACCATGTAGCTTTAAACAGCTACTATTCATCAGTTGAATCTTGTTGTACAGCTGCATGTCCCTTAATTAGGTTTATATCAACTATATGTGGACATAGTCATAGGGAAAAGCTGTACTACATGGAGAAGTAAAGCAATTGCCACTAAAATGCATTTTAATACCACTGCATTTTAATAAGTTTCCAATTACAGCAACAAATCAGAAGAATTGACATCAGTGAACACTGCTCATGTGGACTTTGATCTCTTCCAGTAGATCACATTTCTTTGATTAAAGGACATAAGAGAAGGCTTTAAGCCTGGTTCTGATGAAATAATTAGCCAAAGCTTTATTAACTCAAATGGGCCAGAATTTCATGTGTTAATGTCAGAAAGAAAAGAACTAGTCCTATTAAAGATTTATACATTTTCTTTACAGTTCTAAGAGCATATATTTCCTATTACAGTTCTAAGCAATCGTGATCAGAAAAGTATGCAGTTAAAGTTTTTGTTGTGAGGAAGAACTATCACTATTTGCTGTGTGTAACCCTAGTTATAATAGTCTAAGTCTTCGATTTAACAGATTATAAAATATGTATAAAGTCGTTTTACTTGTACAAGGTCTTTGATCCTTTATAGACAGATATATAACAAGGAAGACCTCTTCCTACACAGACTAGAAAAAGGAGCTGCTCAATAATCTCTTCCACAATTAATGACTGCAATGAAGTAGACTGCACATCTGAGTGGAGTCTGCCTCAGTTTCTTGATATTGCAGCAGTGCTTGGAAGAGGGATAATAGGAAGGGAATATTTATGCTGCTAATTTTCATGAAAGGTGATTTATCTTGTATGTAACTGTACTCATGGTCTTAGGCAACTGGCACATGTTTTTATACATAAGTGAACAGGACATAATGAATAGGACAAGTGCTGGCATCTGAATTTATGGCTTGTGTTCTCAGACATTTTCTTTCCTCTGTGAAAGTATCTCCATGTTCCCTGCACTGCTGTAAACTGTGTTGGCTCCTAAAATAACTTTAAAATAAGCAGGATTATTGTAGTTTTCATCTACTGCTATAAATATATCATTCTGGGAACTATATTCAAGTGATTTACCACCACCATGAAATCTAGGATATTATGAAATCTCTGCTCACTTTTCCTTGTATGGTTCAAAATACTCTCAGCATATTCTGTTTAATGACAGTAAAATTTGAGGAGAAAATAGACTTCACAAGTTCATGTATTCTTTAGCCAGTGGTCTACATTACATTTTCTTTGCTAATTGCATGTAAAATCTGCACATGTTCTGATTTTTAACCCTGTAATACTTGTAGTGTTACTATGTATTTTTTCTGCTCTACCCTCAGCACTCAATCGTTGTTTTAGATTCTGAATCTTCATATTCCCAGATTTGCATTTTATGTTTTACATGGAGATAAGTGAGAGTGGGATGTTTTGTCTTAATGCTGAGCCCTGCAGCCTAGAACAGTTACTCAAGATTTGTCTGTCTCTACTGTTGTCTAATCTCAAGTTGAAGCTGGAATGTGAAGTAGGATTTAAAAGCTTCATCTCCTTCTATCCTCCAAACACACAATCTTCAATGAAGTTATTTTTTTAAAAAACAGATCTTCATCTGTTGTTAAAGCATCATTATCTGTTTATGCCAGCAATATATGTAGAAAGAAGAGTAAAGGGCTATTCCTCAAAATTATCTTAAAGATTTGTAAAAGTGTTTCAGGAGCTGATCCTTAAAACACGTTATGTACGATGAGCATTTAGGAAAACCTTCCCAAACCTCTATTTCTTCAAAAATGCAAGTATTGAGTAAGCGTTGATTTCATTTTTGTAAAGAAGGTTATCATTATGGAACAGTGTTGAAAAAGAATGCTGCAGCTATCTATTATATTTTGTAAAAAATCTATAGCAATAGTTGGCAACATATTCTCTAACAAAAGGCTTAGCTTTTTAGACACTTGTAATTTTATTATTAACTTAAATAAACCAGATATTTAGAGGGTTGAGGTTTTTTTCTTTCGTTCCATTTATTTTTCTCTTCCAATTGCAATAACAGCTTCCAAGTTCTGGGTTGCCAGGATAATAGAATGTGAATTTTGGCAAGAAATTAAACAATAGTAAATATAGTTTGGACTCAGTACGAGTGATGTTGTTTAATGTCAACAGTGACTAAAACTGCCTTCCAAGTGACTGAGGCTTTGTAGGTCTGTTCTCCTTAAATTAATTTCTGCTTCTCGAAGGCCATTAATTTAAATTGCATGTAATATAACTAGTGACTCCTCCTTCTAGCTCACATCACTATTTCCAGAGCAACCTGATGATGCAAATTATTGAGGGATTCATATTTCAGGGCTATTTTTTATTCATTTCTTTTCATTATGCCTGGCCTACCTCTCTTAAAACAAAGGAATCTTAAAAGTTTTAATGCTGCTAAATCTAAAAAAAGAGACTACTAGTTTAATTTTAGTCTCTGTGAGTAGTCTTGGTTTTGAACACCTCATTCTGCAGAGCTAGTGACTGAGTGCATTTCAGCTTCCATATAAGCTGAAGTCAGTGAAATTAGATACCAAGCAATTGAAAAGTCAGTTAAATACAGTAAGTGCAGTATATGCAAATACATTACGTATTGCTGTCTGATTTCCCTATTCCCTTGTTTATATAAAGATTGTGAGAGATAGGAAAAGGAGGGAAAGTCGGAGCTCAGAAACAGTAAAGAAGAAAAGAAATAGTGCAGAGGTTGTCTGCTCTTACTGAGATTCAGAAAGTTAAGACTTCATACCCTTTTAGGAAATGCAGTTCCAGAGGTGAAGGCTTGCAAAACTCTTAGATCTGCTTTGAGTCCTCCTGTGTTCTCAGGAGGCTTGTACAGAAACACAGCCCCAGTGTTTCGCATTTATTTAGTTAAGCCTCCCTTATTGTCAGAGATGAACTTGAGATGAAATCCTGGCCTGAGTGAAATCAGTGAAATAATTGCTGGCAACTGCATGGAACAGAGTGTCACAGTATGTGCAGCACACTCCCTCTGTTCCTTTTCTTTTATCTTCAGCATTATCAAATGTAAATATTTCCCTCTCATTAAAGAGTGCAACTTCCTGGTACAAGTTGTATAATCGCATTTGCGCAAAACCAATCTATAATCAAATGTAATACACAGGTTCAAAGACAGAGGTCTCGAAGAGTATCTATTACGAAATGTGGAAATATATGGTTACCTTAACGAGGCTTTACTCGAATGACAGGAAAAAACCTTATGTGTTGGTCCATCTAACCTACTGAGCTTCCATGTTTAAATTTGCACAAAAGCAGCTTAAATTTGCTAGGGATTTGAATAAGAAATCTCCCAAAGCCTAAAGCCTCCATGTGTTATTGGTATAAAAGAAGGGGGAGAGGACATCCTAATGATGGCTTGAAGGCATATTGAAATATTGGAAGTGTGAGATACCACATTTCCCTAAATCCCACCTCCTGTTGAGATTGGAAATAGAAGTTATCTGTTTCAATACGTGGTACATCTAACTGTCCTGTCTCTCAGGCAGAGCAGCCTGCCCTCTGTGGCTGCTGCACTAATAACTGAGCCTTTTCCCTCAGATAAGAATGTATTTTCTTTGAGTGTAACACTACTGCTTAGAGGGGAAATCTATTGGTGAGGTTACTTAGAAGGCAATAAATCTGCATCACCTGAACTCTCCCCATCTTCATGACAGCTGGGTCTGGGTTTTCCTGAGCTATGTCTACGTGCAGAAAAGTTTGAGTTTTTTGTTTGGTTGGGTTTTTTCTTGTCATGGTCACATTTCACTTTAAATGTGCTGGCAAAGTTCAGATTAAACCACTCCACTGGTTTCATTACACATGTGCTGGTCCTATGTTCTCATGTAACGTGAAGTCTAACACATATATTCTAGTGAAATTAGGCTATGACTCCTGTATCAGTCAAAACATTAGGAAAGAATTAAAGTTTTCAGTTCCCCGGGGGGATCAGAAAATAACATGTTCAGCCACTTACTGCCTGTCACCATCTGATATGCTAAGGATTAGGGGAAACTCAAAATTCAGGCTTTTCCAGATAAGGCAGGCTACTTTGTGAAACAGTAGCTTCTTTCTTTCACTGAAAAATGAATTGAATATATTGCCTTAATCTTAGGCAGATGAAAGGCTATTCTACACAGCACCCACAAATTCAGCAGAATGAGGACAAAATGTGGTATTTCCCATCTAGTTAACGGAACAGCAGACAATGAAGAGTTCAAAATCAATAGATTGCAACTGCTTCGCTCCTGTATCATCTTCTGCCTTGTTTTACTTTGTCTTCCTGTTTTGGTTAGCTAACCTGCAGGAACGCAATCTTTGTTTTTCTCTTCTTCTCTAAAAAGGAAAACCTGCAGTAACCTGTCATCTCTATGAAATTACCCTGTTTTCTCTCTAACTAAGTTAACAGTGAGTGGTGATAATAAATGACCACTGTACTGACGAAAGGCAATGCTGGACAGCAAAGTGGTCATAAAGCAGAAATTTTCAATTAAGAAAAAAGTCAAATAGGGCTGGAAGGGACATTGAAGTTCTCTAATCCACCCACCTGACACGTGGCAAGATCATCTATATCTAAGGTATTTTCATGACCAGTAACAAAGAATCTATAATTTTGCCAGACTACACTATCTTTAGTGCAAATGGGTTCAGTGTATTTAAGTCACCCACAACCACATCCCTACTAACCCTGTTAGTCCTACTAATATGAGCACTGATCAGCTGAAACATTCTTAGTAGCAAATGGGCCTATCAAGATACTCAAAACACGTCAAACAACCCATGTATGGCCAAAACAACCCAATCATTCTCGGAAGGAGCATACCCTGTATTTCCACCGATCCTGCTCTACAGGATGAGGGCACAGTTTAATTTCCTCTGTCATGTCTTCTTGCAAACATCTGCCTTTCTGCTGTTCTGCATATTGAAGTGTAACAGCCCTGCCTCAGGTCTTGTTCACTACTGCTGCTCATCTGGAGCTGGCATTATGTTGATTCACTATTTATGTTGTGACTTCTAGTAGATGAAGTTTCTGCTACATGGGCCTTGATGCATGGCAGTAAAACTTTGTGGTTTGGCCTGTCTGCAGTTCCACAGTGTTTCATGTGAAGTGTTTTATCTCAAAAGGAATCTCAGCCTTTTTCCTTTCTTTTCACCCATGACATGAAGCTTACCCCTGCATGGAAATTAATGCTTCATTGGCATAAAGATGACTCTATTTCCCTTTGGAATTAAGCTCTTGGGAAAGGCAATTATGAAAAAGAGTTGTTAATTTTACTCCCAAAGAATGACCTGCAATATCTAGGAAGCCTGGCAGAAGTCCCTCCAATTGTAAACTCAGATTTTCAAAAATCAAAAATTTTCAAAAGATCATTGTTGTCTTAACTTTGTTCTGCTGAAATCAGCAGTAAAGGTCATACTAACCACAGTGAGGACAGAGCTAAGCAAACCCTGACCCCTCCTGGAAATCCCATTTGCCATTGTTATCACCCTGGAACAATAATGGATAGAAACCAACCACAAAACAATGGGTTGGAAAGGAGGACACTTTTGGGATTCGGTGCCAGAACTGAGGGGACTTTTCTCTTCTGCCACAAGAGAAAAAAAAAAAAATTAGCATCTGTTGCAGTAAAATCTTCCTTCTAAGCAAAATAAAGAAGTGCATATTCAGGCAGAAGGTCCTCTGAGTTCAGCTGAGATCTGATTAATTACAAACTGATTATGAACTTTAGGATTTTACTTGTTGATCCTGATCAGAGTGCTTAGGTACTGCACCGAGCTGCACTGTTGAGAAGTTTGAATGCCAAGCAGAAATGCAAATATTCTTCTCTCTGATGCAATTAATTTCACATGCCTGCAAGTTTACCTATAGGCATGCACTTTGATTAATTTTATATTTAAATCCTGGACATACCAATATTCTCCAAAACAGCTAATATTTTTATGCAGAATATTGCATCCAATATTTTGTATTTCCTCACATTATAATCTCTCTAATTTGGATCCCTTTCCAAGGATCTGTGCTGCATTATGTGCAACCTGTTTGCTCCCTGCTGAGGCTTGTTAAGGGCAGCTCTTAGCCTATTTATCTGGCAATATTTTTGCCCCTGGTCTGACAAAATCTGCTTATGTATATGGCAAAAGAAGTAAATAGAATCCCCTGATTTCCCTGTTCCTCTGTTTAAATGATATACACCTGTGTCCCAGTTTCAGCTGGGAAAGAGTTTATTTTCTTTCTGGTGATTGCTATGAAAGGAATATCAATAAGGCATATTATTTTAGTTGTTGCTAAACAATGTTTACACTTTTCAAGGATTCTTTTCAGCTTCCCATAGAAGCTGAGAAGGAGCATAGATGGGACAACTGAATGGCCAGTGGAAAGTTCCATACCATAAACATCATGGTTGGTATATAAATGAGGGTTGGCTGGGAAGGGGCAGGGGGAGTCCACAATCATTGCTTAGGATGGTACCAATTCACCAATTTGCTGGGTGGTAAGAATGACTTGTGATTTGTGTCTTGAATAGTCTTTTACTATAATTGTTGTTGTTATTATTGCTATTTTCCCTTTCTGATATTGTTCTATTAAACTATTTTTATCTCAACTCATGAATTTTGGGGGTTTTTTCCCCTTTCTTTTCCCCTCTTTTTCTCGGTCTTCTCCCAGCCCTTCTGGGGAAGAACCGCGCGAGTGGCTGCATGGTCCTAGCTGCTGGCTGGGGTTAAACCATGACAACCTGATACACATCATTTATAGCAGAAAGTGAAGAAATTCTCTGATAGAGGATTGTCACATATTGGCAGTACAGGACTGTTACTATAAGGAAGAAAAAAACCCTGGGCACTAATAAATCTTAAGTGTTGAATTGCTTTTTTTTACTTCTTTCCCTTTAAATTTTTTTGCTTAGTTGTTCTTTAAGCATACTTCTTTCTTAGGGGGAATTAATTCCTTCAATGATGCCATTACAAATTCAAATCAGTTATTTTATGCTAGTTTGCCTTATTTTATGCTAAATTGCATATCTTAATTGTTATTGTGCAGTCAGTCATTTTAAATTGAATCGGGTGCTTTGCTCACTGCCAGGGTTACCAGGCTTCAGAAACTCTGAGATTTGTGGCAGGAAGCCTGGATCAGTTGAGCAAGCTCAGGTTCACATCTTGGCAGGATAAATGCTCACACCAGAACACACTGATTGCCCAAATATGTTGGCTTTTAGCCTAGTTCTGTCCCACACAGAGGAACTCAGGCCCCTGGCAACTCAGAAACTCATGAAATAGGAAATGGAAAACAAACAGATTGTTATTTAAATGCAACACCAAGAAAGAAGCAAAACCAGCATTATACCCATTTCTGCACAAATGGTGGAAGAAATCTAGGAATGAGGTTGTATGGCTTCCAGTGAAAGCACTGATCAGAGAAAACTTGGTGGGGGGAAAGCAATCAACAGGACAGTGTATTATGAAAGTTGGAAGGAACTGTGCCAGTGGCAGCTTAGTACTATATGCTAAGGAGAGCTTAAAGTCAAATCAAATTAGTGCCCTAACTGCTTTGATGGAGCCTGTATGGGTTCATCTGTGTGGAACACCAAATCTGTATGGATTGAAATCCGGGGTCTGAGCAGGGAGAATACAGTGCTGGGTCTATATCATTGATGGCCCAATGAGGACAGCAGCACTGACTATAATGTGCAGAGACAGATCAGGTCAAAGAGGCAGCAAGGGCAGAAAACACAACTTTGTTGGATTACTTCAATTACCCCCATCCTAACTGGCAAATATCACAGGGGAGCATGCAGCACAGTTCAAATGTTTAGGTACTCTCTGTGACTGCTGACTGAGTGCACGAGAGGAAGTAGCATCCTTGATGCCAAGATAAATCCAGGATCAGGTTCAAAAATCTGGTTTTGGAAGT